TTCAACCCCCCTGTTCCCCTGCCCTCTGACCACCCCAACCCCTATCCACACTCCCACCCTCTGACCATCACCCCGAACTCCCCTGCCCTCTATCCAACCCCCCGCTCCCTGCCCCCTTACCGCGCTGCCTGGAGCCAGCTACGCCACTACGCAGCACAGAGCACAGGGTCAGGCCGGGCTCTGCAGCTGCGCTGCCCCAGGAGCTCGCAGCCCCCCTGCCCAGAGGATTGCACCTGCAGTGGGGCGAGCTGAGGCTGCGGGGAAGGGGGAACAGCAGGGGCGGGGCCAAGGGCTAGCCTCTCGGGCCAGGAGCTCAGGGGCCAGGCAGGAGGGGCCTGTGGGCCGGATGTGGACTGCGGGCTGTAGTTTGTCCACCTCTGCCATAAGGAGTGTCAGAATTATGGCTGCTTCAGAAACCCACATTTCTTGGAACTTTCCATTCCATGGTTTAAATGAAGGCTGCCCACAGCGTGTGGGTGATACTGAGAGGTAGGTAATACCACCTCACTGCTATCTAGCACTTGTCATCCATGGAGCTCAAAGCACTTTCCAAAGAAGGTCGGTATCATTATCCCCATTGTACAGATGGGGGAAACTGAGGCACAGAGCGGGGAAGTGAGTTGCCCAGAGTCATGCAACAGGCCAGCAGCAGTCCCCAGCCCAGTGCTCGACACACTTAGAAAGGTGAAACATAACACGTCATTGCCCTGCTGCCTCCATAGCCCTTGAGGCCCTTTCCCAAGGTGGGGGAGGCTTATCAGCCTCGGTTTACAGATCAGGCACATGCTCACGTTGGGTGAGTTTTAGGTGTCTGATATTCGATACCTGGGCACCCAGAATGGAGGGAACTAACTTAGAGGCCAGTGTGGCCAGATTTCAGAAGAACTCAGGGCCAGAGTTTTCAAGTGCTCAGCCCCTAGCAGCTCCCACTGTGACACAGACACATTTTCTGAAGAGTTCAGCACCCAGGTGAAACTCTGGCCCTATGTAACTTACCCAAGCTCCCGCAGCGCTGACAGACCGCGCCCCCTGCATTGACCTCTCCCTGTAACACGTTTTGAGTGTGTAAAAATAACACCCGCAAATGAGAAATACATAAACCAGGGTAATAAAGAACACAGCAGCATGGTGCAGCCACGA